CCCAGCTAACCAATCACAGCACATTTTGTATTTCAGAAGGCGGGCCTTCATTTGATACAGGAACTATTCGAGCCGTTCATGCCAGACTGGGGAGAGAGGTGTTGTAATAATGTAAAATATGTGAAAAATAATGTGTTTTTTGAACAACCTAGTATGAGAGCATGTTCTAGTACACCCCCAAAACAAAATCAAGACTTTGTAAAAGAGCAATATAGGACGCCTTTAAACGGTTTTGTAACATCTGGAGTTGCCAGGATGGGTTCCTTTGTTAGATCTAACTTGAGTTGATCAAATGATTGCTGGCAATGTTCTGTTCAAGTCCATATAGAGTTATTTTGTTTTAGTGCATGTAGTGGTGCTGCTTTTTCTGAAAAATGGGGAATGAATCTGTGGTACCACCCAGCTAATCCCAAAAATCATTGTACATCTTTCATAGATTGTGGTTTGGGAAATGTACTTACAGCTGAGACTTTAGATGGATCGGTCTTTATGCCTTGCCCCGAAACTATGTGACCTAGAAACATTAGAGACTTTTGGATGAAATTGCATTTCTTTAAATTAAGAGTGAGACCAGCTTTGGATTGACACTGGAATACCTGTTGGATGTGTTGGAAGTGCTCTTGCTCACTTTTGGAGTATATCACTACATCATCAATGTAGATCATGCAACATTTTCCCTTCAACTCTCTAAGCACATACTCCATCAACTGCTGGAAAGAAGCTGCAGCGTTTTTAGGCTGAACGGTAGACGCTGAAATTCATATAGCCCAGATGATGTGACAAAGGCTGTCTTTTGAATGCTGTCAGGATCCATTTCCATTTGCCAGTATCCACTCTTCAGATCAAGAGTGCTGAAAACAGTTGCTCCATGTAAGGACTCTAGAATGTCTTGTATTTGTGGCATTGGATACGAGTCCAAAGGGGTCTTAGCATTAAGTCCACAACAGTCAACACAAAAACGAGATCTACCATCCTTTTTTGGCACCACCACCACTGGCGAAGCCCAAGGAGACATAGAGGGATGTATGATGTCTTTGTCCAACAACTCCTTAATCTGTTCGTCGATATATGTTTGTTTCTTCAAAGATACCTTGTACGGTCTTTTCCTTACAGACACTTCATCGGTAGTCAGGATACGGTGCTTGACCAGTGTGGTATGTCCTATATCGTGGGTACAAACTGTGGGCCAACCCAACATCAAACCTTCTAGCTGCACTTGTCCTTGTATGTCAGTACCTGCATTAGCCGTAAGACTACGAATGGACTGCAGATCCTCTTCTTTGTACTGTGCTGGAGACAATGCAAGGTAGAAATTGACAGTTGGTGCTAATAGGTTGGTATTCTGGCTGGTGAATGAATGCATGATAGCAATATTCTCTTGTGTGATTAGAGTATACTGAGCATGCCGAATATCTAACACCATTCCTGAGTTACAGAGAAAATCCATTCCTAGAATGACAGGTCCTGCTAGGTCAGCTTCATTCATTACATAAAAGTCAGTCTGCATGGGAACTTCATGCACTTTGCTGGTCCAGATTACCTTCAACACAGCTGCCTGATGGTGACCATTAGCGAGATGAAAAGTTTGCTTTTCTTTTTGAGAAGAAAACTGCTGCCAAATGGATTTTTGAGTACTACCCATGTCGCTGAGTGCTGTAATTTGTTTATCCTGAATATGCAGTGGAATAGTAAGATTTCGAGGATTACATTGCACATTGACTTTTCCAGTCTGAACTACTCTAGTGCTAGATGGTGGATTTTTTTCGTTGCAACTCTTGATGCATGACATTTTTCTTTCTCTGCTCATCCGCATTCATCTGGTTCCAGTATTTCTTTGACTCGCAAATGTCTCTTTCAATCTGTGTTCCAACTCTGACCAGTTCGTGTACTGTATGTAGGTTACCTCTTAACAGGCTAACCAGCCAAGGGTTGCAATTACGTAGGATGGCCTGAATCATCTCCCTTTCAGTCATTCTCTTTCTCCACCTGAGACACAGAGCGCGATAATGGAAAGCGAAGTCCCTGAAACTTTCTGATACTCCTTGCCTCCTTTCCATGAGTTTTCTCACTGCCACATCTTCATAATCCTCACTTAAGAAGGCTTGAAGAAAAGACTCCTTGAACTGCTGCCAATTGTGGTTTCTTTTCTTTTCCGCAGACCACCAAGCTTTTGCAGTGTGTCCTAAAACAGCAGTCAGAGAAGCTATAATTTCCTCATCAGTTAATGGGCGGACAGCGAAATATTCATCACATTGCTCAATGAATGCAATTCAAATTCTCAGAATGATTACGGAACTTAGGAAATTCAAGCTTGACTGGCGGATTGTATGGACTTAATGAAATACTATCAGCAGTTGGTGGGGTACTGGAATGACAGTCTTTATCGAATCTGCGGATAACAGTTCTATTTATGGGCTGATGGGGAGTAGAAGTTGTTGGGTTATTTGCATGTAGTTTACGATCTATTTGCTTATCCCTTCTTTTAAGACAATCCACCATAGACTGTCCCAGGTCTTGAATAAGTACTTCTAGATGTTTTCAAAGTCAAAGTCAAACCACGGAGAAGTCTTCTGTGACCTGTTTTGTAAGTATGAACTCAGATGCTTATGAGATAGGACAGATTTGACTTACTTTACCTAACCTGAGAATAAATAAAATAAGGTAGAAGGTGTAGGAAATTTAGCACCATAAAACATGGCGCCCAACGTGCCCGGAGCAGACTGATCATCAATTACAGTTGGCTTACGTATGTTTTCGTATGTTTTGATGTTTAGAACATGAAATAAGAAATTATTGAGGAAAACTGAATCCTGTAAGACCCAAAAGAGAATAGATGAATTCAGTGGGAATTATTCAAGTTAAACGACCCAGAAAGGGTTGAGTGTGCGCATGAAAATTAGACCTTACAAGCTGAGAGGGCTGTGAAGGTTTACTTAGCCGATAAAGAGGTGAGATAAAATCTCATATGGCAGGTCTCGGAGAGGCTAGAATAGCTGCAGAGACAGGGCTTCTGTTAGGAGAGGGACACCTCCCTAACAGATAGCCAGACTCTTCATTCAAGTTTATACGAGTGAAATGTGCTCGAATAGGAGTAAGTCGGTTTGAAGGCAAAAGACATCGGTTCAAGAAACTGAATCGGCTGAACTGATCCTTTTGATCCCGTCCAGATTGAGTTAGAAAAAGGGGCAAAATACTCAAAAGTGAGTTAAAAAGTGAATAATAGACTTATGAGCTAGAACATTTAAATAGTTGAAGGATACAAATTAACATGGAAAAAAAGAGAAAGGTATTTTTAGCAGAATAGATGTTAATAAATAATATCTGAGATGAACATACCCGGGGCACATATTTTAGGTGTGCGTGTGTTGTAAAAGATATGAAATCTGTGTAAACGGCTTTAACCATAGAGAATAGTGACGGCACAGGCAAGATGTAGTTTCTGTCAGATGAGTTACTGCATATCGTTAAAACGGATTGCTGTGAAAAACTTTTGAGTGCAGCGAGCTTAAAGTTTAAAACTAAAACCATAACAGCAACTGAAATGAGAAAATAAATGTAGAAAGTAAGAAACATTAAGCAGAGAATTAAAGTAGATATTTAACTTTAATCAATACAAGACAATTTTAGCATCCAATAATTTTTAATTGAAGCTTAGCTATGTGAAATTACAAACATAGCAGAATGAAATGAATAGTAAGTTTGTTAAATAAACAATACAAATTAGAAACAACAAAAGAAATAATCTGACAAATAAAAGTAATGAAAATAAGAAAGGAGATGAGCAGCCAGGATCGTTGCAGCCTGTCCGCACCCCATAAAAATGCCTGTAGTGGGAAGAGATTTACAACAGTCGCAATGAGATAGTTGTAGAAGTTAGAGCTTGAAAACACAAAGAGAGCAAAAAATAGTAAATCACATAAAAAGTCAGAATTTATGCAGTGTTTAGAAAGACTGTGATTAAATAAGTGTACGATAAAGAAAATTAAATAGTTAAAACAGGAAAGAGAAAATTAAAATAAAATAACATTAAAATTAAATAAAGACAAAAATACCTGGCAAAGAAAATGGAAAATATTGATGAAATTGGAACAAGAAAGTTGTTCCAAACAGAAATGTAACTTACAAAAAGATTAAGTCAGTTAGTTACAGAGTGTTATGCAGTTGAAAAGTTATTTAAAACTTAAACAAACTGTAATACAGGAAGGTTACAATTAGAGGGTAATAAACAAATGATAATGAGAATACAATTTAGAATAAGTAGACTAATGAGATTATTAAACAGGGAAAAATGAGGTTAAGAGAAGTTGTAAATTCAAACGTCTAAAAACTGGGAAAAAGTCACAGAGTGCAGAAAAACAGAGATGAACCAGAGACATTAAGATTTACGATAACCCCATTAGACACTAGGAATGTGAAATTTAGCGAGAGCAGAATAAAGAACAGAAAAACGTGAAGAGACCATGTTACAAAATAAAAAGAGTTGCAGATGCAATTTTTAACCTGCTAGGAGAACAAGCATTAGAAGAAATAGAGAATACACGTGAGCAGTTAGAAGTGCAGAGTCCAGGGTCAGTCAGAAATACCACCGAAGCGCCTCAGTGGAATTCTATAATGCACGCTGTAATGAAAAATTATAGAACGAAGTTATATACTATTAAACGCTTTGAGTTAGAAGCTGAGACAATAATGTCATACTGAATTCAAATTAGAATCAGTAGAGGAGTTAAAATAATACATTTAACCTTGATAGGGACAGGACTGTAAGAACATGACAGCTGTAATTAATGGAACATTGACAGGAATAATAAGGAATTCAGAAGAGGAATTTCCTCTGAAATTAAATTAGTTAATGAATAATAGTGATAGAGATAAATGTAAACAAAGTTACATTAAAAGAAAAAGAACTATAGAACCCTGCAGGACAGCCGTTTCTGCTTCAGAGAGAGAAGGAGCACAGCTGGATCAGTCAGAAATAAGAAATAATAAGTTTTACAGATAATTCAGAAGGAGAGCAAGAAAATTACTCATTTTCGTCAATATTAAATACAAAAAGTGTACAGAAAGTGTATCTGTATAGGAAGATTGTTAATTTTTAACTATTGGGTAAATGAGAACGACTAGTCAAATCACCTCCTGCTGCATGAATTACTAAACAAGAGAAATCAAAATCAGTAAAACAGATAATATTCCAAGAAAGTTATGAATATATACTATAATATATATAATAGAAAAATAGTTAGGGAACTGGAGACAGCGAGCTACAGCGCGATTAGAAACATCTGAAAGCTAGGACAGTGCAGAAACAGACCAGAGGCAGAACGATAGAAGGGAGTCTTTTACTCCTGCTGCTGGAATGAGAGGAATTCAGTTAGACTGTTAGAGTTTGTAACGCAAAAGAACAAATACATATACAGGCAAAGATGTTAGAGCTGCAGTTGACAAATGCAATTAGAAAGCAGATAGAGCGGTCAGGAGAACATAATAGTACAGATACAGATTGTATTATTAAAGAGGCTGGAAGGACATGCTAATTAATGCATCTAAAGACCAAGTTCCATTGTTAAGCGTATGGTTATCTATAGAGGATGATATACCAATAACAGATAAAGTAAGATTATTAAGAGATATGAGTTGAAATAGCCCAGGTGAATATAAATTAGTAACAAACTTGAATACTGCAATTAAGAAACAATTTGAAGAAAGACCGGCTGAATATGATTTGAGCTCTAATATACGAGAATAGTGAAGGGAAAAAAGAACCGCAAAATAAGTGTAAACAAACAACAAAAAAGTTAATCCTTTGCAAACACAAAGTAAAATAAGTAAAGAAAAGAAGTATAATACTTGATTTCAAGCTATGCAGAGAGAAAGGAAATAAATTGAATGTGTCTAAAACAGAAAATCAGAGCACAAAAGCCAGGAGGAAAGATAGGTAGAATAAATATACAAGAAAATAATTAATTAGGAAGTAATACAACAAGCTATAGGTCAGAAGATAAATGGGGAAGAATGACCCCAGTAGAAGGAGATCTGGTCATTTAAAA